GGCGGTGCTACGCGCCTGTCTAGTGCATGTCGCACTCCCTCTACAAAGACTTACTCTAGAGCAGGGCGTGACGACCAACGACTCCATGCCAGTGCGTGGGTTGTAGCATTTCTGCTTGCAGAAGCCGGCGTCGATCACATAGATGATGCCATCAATTGTCAATGAGGTCTCGGCAATGTTCGTTGCGATAACAACCTACATACACACCCACGCGCACACCCACCCACGCGTGCACCCACTCACACAGACACACACCCACACCCACAGATCCACACAGACACGCACAGACACATGTACACCCAGGCTTACAAGGTTTAGAATGTTTTGTTTTTCAGTCATCCTACCTCGGGTATTGTCAAGGAGACCACCTGTCCGTGAGGACCACTACAACCAGGACCAAGGCATGTCATTTCCAGTCAAATGACCCTGGATAAGGCGACCACCTGTACACGATCATCCCACATTATAAAGGTGCTGAGATGCAGAGCATGCAATCAGCTTAGACAGGTTCCACTGCACACTGTGCCTTGGCTAGCAATTGCCGTATTTTACAAGTTACAAGTCGACCCCGGCTACAAGTTGACCCCCACATACAGTGCTTAGGGCCTCGATTTCCCCGGTTTCACTTTAAAACCCATGTTGTCAGTCAACTACTGTAAGTCAACAAATATTCGGCGCATATTTATTTTCGGCCTAGTCATATTTGGCCGAAAATTTGTTGCGCCCGAAATTTTGTTTTGCAAGGTTCAGTGAGACAGTGTACTGTAAAACATGTTATTTTCGGTGTAACTTTAATTAGTATTTCTGTCATTTCGGCAGAAAAAACACAGGCACCTAAATTTAACTTACACCTAAGAGCCTCTAGAGTATGCACCGTATGTGATGGGAAAGCTGGTCACCTAATTCTACATTACGCCTGAAAGCTGCCAGGTCCCTGGCACCGAAATTTAGTACACCTAAAATTACATGTTGTACAGTATACAGGCAGCGGCAGTACAGGCCGAAAAGTTAATGCGGCCGAAATGGGTTTTATCCCTGGGAGGCAGAAATTTGAGTGGGCTGAAAATTTGAAGATCTACAGTACCCCTTTATTGATAGTGTATAGCAGGAAATTTTCGGACGGAAATATTTTCGGACAAAGCCGATTTTCGACCTTTCGTACGGATTTTTATTTTCGTACAGTGCTGCATGCTAAATGCACGTGTTCGCGTGTATAGCGAAGTACATAACTTCACAGGGACAAATTTTAGAACGGAATTAATTCTAGTACAAAAGAGGCCGTGTACGAAATCGTACGAAAATAAATTATTATTATTATTTGTGCTCCCGCGTCAATGGGCTCGCCCAAATTCGCTTGCACCGAACCATGCGAAAAAAGGCCACCAGCAGGCAGGCAGGCAAAGAAAAATAGAAAATGGTGTCGCACAAACTAATACAAACAAGAATATCATTATTGATGACATTAATATACTGAATGAATGGCAAAGGCCATGTGAATACGGATAATACGGATAATCAGAGTACCAACAACAAATAATGTAGCTCAAACCATTGCAGTGCCAACTTCCTTCACCAGCACTCTGCCTTGTACGCATCTGTAACTGCGTTGCACAGATATGTCCATTCACGGCGATCCAGTGCTCGCTGAGCCATCAGCTGCAAGTCCCTTGGAGTCCTCAGACGGCAGCCGACTCGCTCCGCGTCTTGATTCAGCAGGACTGGTAGCGTGATCCACGGCCGCCCACGGTATCCCGGCACGGAGCAGCCAAAGAATCCACTCATGGCCTCCCTAGCCGGTGTGTGCTCATCTGATCGCAGGATGTGGCCAAACAACCGCCATCTTGCATTCACCAGAATGTTGCCAAGTGGAGCAGCACTGCAGCGCTCGTAAACCAAATCGTTTGAAAGTCGGTTGGGCCACCTGATACCCAAGATATGCCGAAGTTGCCGCCGATGATACGATTCCAACGAAAATAAATTCCGTCCGAAAATTTCCTGCTAATTTCCTGTAGTCTTGTAGTTCCTAGGTCCTTTTCTTTCCAATTGGTAACCCCCTTTTTTGTTTCGTTTTCGTCAAAACATGGGAAACATGGATGCAGCGAATGGGATTTTCGGTCTTTGACCACTTTGCGGTGGGTCTGATCTACTCACCTCCCACCGCTTTAGGAGCTGCATCTGCGCCTTGATCCAAGAGGGTGGTGGCGTTCCTGCGGATGCGGAAAACTGGGCCTTTGGCAGAGTGTCACGCGAACCGTGAATTTTATTTTTGGTCATAACAAGTTGACTTATAACCAGTAAAATACGGTACCAGTTTTCGTCCCGCGGAGAGGAGCTGCTGTGTGCAAGTCTCGCCGTAAAGCGCACAGAAAGTTTATTCTGCCAAGGAGCGCAACACGCTGAGCTGCTCAAAGTATGGACATTGGCTAAAACGAAAACCCTGTCCATGTCTTCACATCAGGGCAGGCACAGGCGGACCGTGATGACTAGAGCAAAGGGAAATACTGTTAAACATGCAATTTTCGGTGCAACTTTAATTTCGGTGATTTCGCTAGAGAAACCAGGCACCTACATTTAAATTACACCTACAATCCATTTCAAAACTATAGACGCGTACCTAGGCAAAAACCGTTATGTCAGCATCTATACCACATAAAATCTGTGATCACTTTGTGCATAATTTTTTCCAAATTGGGCGTCTGTTATCCAATCGTTTAGAAACTATATGAGAGTAATTGTGGAGCGGTCCTGAGCAATATTCCGAAAACTATTCTCGAAAATTTCCAGCCAAATTTGAAATATTTCAAAAACCCTACGCGTCTATAGTTTTGAAATGCACTGTAAAAGGCACTAGAGTATGCACTGTATGTGACGGGAACGCTGGTCACCTAATTCTAAATTACACCTGAAACCTGGCAGGTCCCTGGCACCGAAATTTTAATGCACCTAAAATTACATGTCTTACAGTACTGCTAAGTCCAACAAAAGTCTAGACGATACTCCGGAATTGTGGAGGAAAGTCTAGACGATACTCCAGAGTTGTGGAGAAAATCAGGTACCCCGGGCAAAAAAACCGTTCTTTTGTAACAGAACATGTACTACCATCATGGAAAAAGCACCAAAAATTGAGTTGAACAAAAATGCACGCTATATTAAGCACAGTGTTGCTTTGAGATTAGCCCTGGTAGTGTGATGACATTGAACGCAAATTTTTAAAAATGTTTTCATGTTTTGCAATGCCTGCAAGGATGTGGCTGATGCTGCGGCTGCATATGAGTTCATTCGATACCCCTCCCCCCCTTCCCCAATTAAACTCTCACGGATCTTTTCGCTTCGTGAAGACCAATTTGCCTGTTTTACGCAAAGCTCGTACCGAAAGGGAGTGTTCAGCCACGAAGAGGACCCGAAGGAGTGAAATCAAGGGCTTGTGTATTCGGCTGCATCGCATGGCACATCCCAACAGTATTCCCTCCACAGTTTTAGTTATATACCCAGAAGGCTGCGCTTGCGCAGTGTCGTTCTCCTTACAGTAGTTCTGACAGTTGTTCTCCGAGTCTTCTCCTTGTAATTATCCCAGTCCTCTCCAGTTCTTTAGTCCTCTTTGTGCTTCTCGAAGTCAGTTAATATAACTATTATAACAACCCCTCATTGTGTGCAGTCTGAGATAGAGTATAAAGAGTGTTATAAAGTACAGTAGTAGAGTAGAGTACAGTAGTTCCAGCAAGATACCCATATATAGACAACATTGGTCAGACAACAGGAGTACTTTGGCCGAGGTGAAGTTGACATCAGCATCATATTCAATCAAATGCTGACCCGCCTAGTAAATCGATGGAGAAGACTTTCTTTGGGACTTTCCCAACACCGAGTAGCAAGAAGCGCTGGTACGTTGTGAAGTCAAGACACGGTGCAGCTCCTGTTTAAGGCATGGTCACTGGACCGGGGACTGTCCGCAGAGTGGATGCAAGGAGTACAGCGAGAAGCATCATTCTGTCTTGCATTACCTAAGCGATCACAACAGACTGGCGCCAGCACACCCAGCATGGCCGTTGACTAGCTCCTGGTAAGCTTGCCCAAGCTGCTGGCCGTTGACTAGCTCCTGGCAAGCTTGCCCAAGCTGCTGATGCCATTGCATGCAAAAGAAGCACTTCATCAACACATACGGGGTTTCGTTGATGGCACTGCACGTCCCATTGCTCGTCCCAAGAGAGGACAACGCCAGTGGTACAGTGGTCACAAGCGCTGCAGCATGTGCAGAAACTTCATGACTCTGTTTGGCCTCATACCACACTTAGAGGGACCAGCGGAGGGCTCTGGGCACGATGCCAGGACTCAGCAAATGTACCACTCCAGCATCCCTACATCAGTGCTACTTCAAAGGCCGAGACGATGCCAAGATACAGCAAATGTACCAGTCTACCACTCTAGCACCCTACAACTTGCTACTTCAAAGGCCGAGTGACGCCTTACATGCATGCGTGCTGGATGAGCTCCAGCAACTGCCAGGTGGGAATTCTAATGCAGGTGATGGCTGGACACCACCACCATGGCAGCAGCAGGCAGATGACATCAGCTTGCGCTTGGCCAGATGATGCTGTCTGTCTTGGCCCCTTGCAACCCCTGCTGCTGCGGCGCAGGTGACGTGATTCATTCACATTCACATCTCTGAAGAAGCTCTCTAGCAGCAGAAACTAGTGAGATGAATTTTTAGAACCTTTTAGAACTGTGTTCTGAGACTCTCTTCCCTTGTCGTTATCAACTTGAACCTACTCGATCCTCGTCCTATTGTGACTATGGCTGATCTTAACAGAAGTTATGTTGTGTTGGGGCTCCCCAAGCCAAACTATTCAGCACACCTCTAAAGTCCCTACCAGGGTGTGAACCGAAGCACAGCGGCAACACAACGCAAGGATGTGCGAATGCCGCATCTGTGTGGAATGGGGATTCGGTGAGATTTCTTCACGGTTTTATTGCATCGACCTGAAGATGAACCAGCGCCTCTT